TCTAGTTCAGTTCTAGTTCAGTTCTAGTTCAGTTCTAGTTCAGTTCTAGTTCAGTTCTAGTTCAGTTCTAGTTCAGTTCTAGTTCAGTTCTAGTTCAGTTCTAGTTCAGTTCTAGTTCAGTTCTAGTTAAGTTCTAGTTCAGTTCTAGTTCAGTTCTAGTTCAGTTCTAGTTCAGTTCTAGTTCAGTTCTAGTTCAGTTCTAGTTCAGTTCTAGTTCAGTTCTAGTTCAGTTCTAGTTCAGTTCTAGTTCAGTTCTAGTTTCGAAATTGAAAGTAATTTTCTATATAAAAACTTTCTTCCCAAAAAGACTATTTTCTATACAAATTTGTTTCTTTTTCAAAACAATTTTTTTATATTAATTTTTATTATCATTAAATTATTGTTTACAAAGTCTTATTGATCAATCATTTTTATGCTGTGTAACCTTAATAAAACCAAACAAAAAGCTCTTCATATAAAATAATTATATTTTAATATTTATTTGATTGATTTCATTATAATTGAAAATAATTTGTTCATGTAATAGTTTTCTTATCTCTCGAGTTTTTCTATTTAATACAAATTAAAAATAACAATATTTTTTGCTACACTAAACCTTGATAAAATATTTAATTTTTAACTTTTTACAATTTACCGCCAATAATTAAATGTAATAGAAAGAAAGAAAAGAATGTTTTCTATAAAAATAAAGAAATTAATTAATCTTTCCCTCTCTATTATATCTTGAACCTTATCGATCGATCATCCCAAGTTTTAATTATCTGCCAATTAATAGCAAATTTATTGTTGTTGTTGTAACAGTAGTTTGTTGACTATTTGTTAATGTTGTTGTTTTCATTGTTGTTACGATGATGATGAGTTTAATTAGTGTGATTACAAATGAGAAATAAATTCCCTTAAAAAAAGCGTAAATGAAAATGAGATAGAAAACATAAAATTGGTTTTTATTTTAACAACTCAATGAGTCTCTATAGAGATGCACAAGTTGGAAAAAAATGTCTTCTTTTGTTTTATTTTTATTATTTGTTAAGGATAATAATAATAATGATGATGACAATTAAGGTGATAATCACGTTGTAATAAATATTTGTTTTCAGTTGAGACACTAATTACATCGAAGATGATGATAATGATGATGGTCGTTCTGCATCAAGAGCACGACTTTTATTAATCAATTTTAGTTCTTTTTATTTCTAAAACAACTTGAAGGTGTAGCGCCAGCAGGTGAATAGAAAGAACTACTGTTAAACCAGTATTTCTGATTTCTATTTCAAATTATTTTATTAGATAACAAAAAAATAATTCAACTAATTGTTAAATATTTGTTCAGAGACACAGACTTTAAGCAAATATATATCTATAGTTTGTTCTTCAATATTGTCTATTGATTGTTATTTGTTTAACAAGCATTTTTTAATTTGATAAAAACAATTTTTTTGTTATTTAATTTTCTAACAATTTGCTGAAAAATTCTTTATTGCTTTTCTACTTTATTTGTAAATTTTATGAAACCAATTAGTCATGAGATGTTTATAGAAATTGATTTATTGAGGAAAATAATAATTTTTGTAAATAAGATTTTAAATCAAAGAATTTAAATTTTCTATACAAAAACTGTCTTCTACAATGAAAGAGCTTTTCTATGCAAAAACTGTCTTCCCCATAAAGACACTTTTCTATACGAAAACTGTCTTCCCCATAAAGACACTTTTCTATACGAAAACTGTCTTCCCCATAAAGACACTTTTCTATACGAAAACTGTCTTCCCAAAGAAGACACTTTTCTATACGAAAACTGTCTTCCCAAAGAAGACACTTTTCTATACGAAAACTGTCTTCCCAAAGAAGACACTTTTCTATACGAAAACTGTCTTCCCAAAGAAGACACTTTTCTATACGAAAACTGTCTTCCCAAAGAAGACACTTTTCTATACGAAAACTGTCTTCCCAAAGAAGACACTTTTCTATACGAAAACTGTCTTCCCAAAGAAGACACTTTTCTACACGAAAACTGTCTTCCCAAAGAAGACACTTTTCTATACGAAAACTGTCTTCCCAAAGAAGACACTTTTCTATACGAAAACTGTCTTCAAGGAAAGAATTTCCTTTATTCATGTCTGATAGTTTTCTGCTTCTGTCTTGTCAAGACGGCTTTCAGTTAAGAAATATTTCATGTCTAGACATTATTTCTGTTACCCAATCTGTAACATTAATTTATTTCCGCCTTTCTTTAGTTTCTTATTATTTTAGTTTCTTTTGGTTTTAAATAAATTAACATACAATTTTATTGTTTTTGATTTGTTTATATATTATTTATCGTTTTTTTTTTTTAATTTTGCCAAAGACACACGTTCTGATGATTTAATTCATATGAAACAAGATTCCCCATTTATAGACAGGTAACTCTATGCTAATATGGTGGCATTTAAAACACAACTATCTGAGAAGTAGTTTCATTTAGAAATAAATTTAAAACCTGTTTCCAAATAAAAAAAAAAAATGGAAAGTTCTTTTTTAATCTGCAGAAATGTTTAGACTATAACCACTTTATATAAGGGAGTAGTGTAAAAGTAAATAAAAACTATACGAGATTTTAATGATAAAAATATTTGTTTGTGACAATTAAAATAAGAATTAAACAAATAAAAGAAAAAGAATTAACAAAATGTACGCGCGTACGAAAAGCTTATAAAAGGGGGCACGTAAGATTATACTAAGGGAAGTAACCCTTAAACTAATTACTATATAGCCAATGAAATTTAAAATTAATTTTATTATAAAATAAAAAAAATCCTTAGTAAACATTTGTTAAAATAAATTTTTTTCCTGAAATTATCAAATCTGTTCGCTAAGGTATACTTCCCTTGGGGTAAATATTTATATTATTTTACACTAATATTGTTATTGTTGTCATGGTAAAGGTATCAACATCATTTGCTTCTGTTTAATGTGTTCAGACAATGGCTTTTATGTTGACAAATGTACAACTATATGATTGTTTGTACATTGAACTTAGGAATTTTGTTTTTTTGTCAAAAAAATTTTCATTAACAAAAATTAAAGTAAAACTATAAATATATATTTTTATTTGTAATCTAGTGTATGTCTGTCCTCTAAATTATGTTACAATTATAAAGATTTTTTCGGGGGTTTTAATTTTATCTTATTTCACCTTAGTTTTTATTGTATTTTATTGGGTATTTCTTGTTTCGGTTTGTTTTTTATTCTTTTGCAACTTGTGGCCTTTGGACCTGCAAATAATACAAACTATTCATGTGGTTGTACAAATGAATTTGTGTGCAGTTTTTCTGGTTACTGCTAAGTTTTGTCAATGATTTTTTTTTTGTTTGACAAAAAAATATTTTAGGAAGAATAGTATGGGTTTTTTTGTTGACGTTTATTTGTGGGAGGTTTTTTCTGCTGAGATGAATGATTTGTGTTTTTTGGGATTTTTGTTAGTTTAGTTATATTTTCTAAACAGAAATTTCAATATCGTAAATTTTTCTATAAGAAAACTTTCAATAGCATAAATATGTCTAAAGAAAAAACTCAATATCGTAAAATTTCACTAAAAAATCTTAATATTGTAACTTTTTCAAAAGAATATCTCTATATCGCAAATTTTTCTACCGAAAACTTTCAATATCGTAAAATTTCTTACAAAAATTTACAGTATTGTAAATTTTTCAAAAAAAAAAAAAAATCTTATATCGTAAATTTTTTTTTTGAAAAAAAACTTTCAATATCGTAAATTTATCTCATGAAAACTGTGAATATCGTAAAATTTCCAAAGAAAATTTACAATATTTTTCAACAAAAAAAAAAAAAAAATCTTAATATCGTAAATTTTTTCCAAAGAAAATTTTTAATATCGTAAATTTTTGTAAAGAAAATTTTCATTATCGTAAATTATTCTAAACAAAACTTTCAATATCGTAAAATTTCCAAAGAAAATTTACAATATTGTAAATTTTTCTATAAAAAATCTTAATATAGTAAATTTTTTCTAAAGAAAACTCGTAAATTTATGTAAAGACACCTTTCAATATCGTAAATTTATCTAAAGAAAACTTTCAATATCGTAAAATCTCCACTGAAAAAATCTTAATATCGTATTTTTTTTTTTCAAAAAATCTCAATATCGTCAATTTTTCTTAAGAAAACTTTCAATATGGTAAAATTTCCAAAGAAAATTTACAATATTGTTAATTTTTCTGTAAAAATATCTTAATATCGTAAATTTTTCTAAATAAAATTTTAATATCGTAAATTTTTTTAAAGAAAATTTTCAATATCGTAAATTATTCTAAAGAAAACTTTCAAGATCGTAAAATTTCCAAAGAAAATTTACATTATTGTAAAAACTTCTATAAAAAATCTTAATATCGTAAATTTTTTAATAAAATCTTAATATCGTAAGCTGTTCCAAAAAAAACTTTCAATATCGTAAAATTTTCAAAGAAAACTTACAATATTGTACATTTTTCTATTAAAAAATCTTAATATCGTAATTTTTTTTAAAGAGAATCCAACATCGTAAGTTCTTCCAAAAAAAACTTTCAATATCGTAAAATTTCCAAAGAAAATTTACAATATTGTAAATTTTTCTATAAAAAAAGATAACTTTCAATATCGTAAAATTTACAATATTGTAAATTTTTCTTAAAAACGCCTTAATATCGTAAATTTTTCTATAAAAAAATTTAAAATCGTTAAATTTTTAAAGATTTTTTTCACAAAACTTTCAATTTCATAGTTTTTTAAGAAAAAATCTAAATATCGTAAATCGATTTCTTTTTTTTTTCATTACTTTACTTCACCTTGAAGTTCAGCTTCAAAATGTCTTAAAAAAAACTAAAATTTGTTGTTGTTGCTATTGTTATTATTACTTATATTATTATTATTATTGTTGTTGGAAAATTTGTTTAGTTGTTGCTTTTAAACCAGTTTTAAACTGGGTCACCAAAAAATATTATTATTTAATATTTGTTTAAACTCACTTTTTTTTGTTAAAAATTTACTTGAAATAATATTTTCTTTTTATAACAATTTAATTCAAAAGAAAACTATTAATAAAATTTCACGCATTCATGACTAAATAATTTTTTCCTATTTGTCTTTAATATATTTTATTGTAATAATAATTAATTTATTAACATGAATATTTTGTAACAAAAATTAACACTATTTTTTTATAAAAAATATTAAACAAAATCACGTCTTTACAAATTAAGTACAAAAATGCAACTGATCGATATGATCGTGTGGTAGTTTTTTTTGGGTTTTTTTCTTTGGTGATTTTTAGTTTTTTTGCATGTTGTGATTCAATATTTGTGAGATCTTGTTATTATTTTAAAGAGTCTAGCGCTACCGTTCTCAATTATGTGTGAACACATGTTTTTGAATTTACGGGGGACTCTCTGTTTGTTTAGTTTTCTTTTATATGGGGAGATGTCTCTCTCTCTTCGTCTCTGTTTTACAGATAGTGTGTGTTTGTGTGGTTCATATTGCAAGAAATTTAAGTAACCGAAGATGAAGAAATCTTAAGTGGGGGCTTGAGTTACTCTTTTAAAAATTACATAAATGAGAGAGTGGGTGGTTTGGTTATGTTTTGAGAAACATAATTAAGAGATCGTAAAAGTGTCACCAAATTTGGGAATCAATATGTAATACTTAAAGGGGGAAACATATAAAAACAGCAAAATCTCCCCAGAAGGTAGTAGAGGGATTTACAAATCGTGGTTATGTCTTTATTTACATACATATAGTAATCTCTCTTTATACTTTTATGTAGATCTCTTTATGTTAAAACTCATTTAATCAAGTGTTATTGCCTTCATATTTCTAATTTATTATTTTTCTTTATATTATCATTATTAAGCAATTAATAATTAGATTTTGCAGAAAAAGCAAAAACGAAGCGAAAAACAAACTAAATCAGGTATGGGTACGACAATACAACTGTAATTTTTCAATACTTTTTGATAACAAAGAAAACAGTTTTGATACCTTTTGTGAAGTCTAGTCTATAAACTATTCTATAGTCTAGTGTATAGTCTATTGTATAGTCTATTCTATAGACTATAGTTTAGTCTATAGTTTAGTCTACAGTCTAGTCTATAGTCTAGTCTATAGTCTAGTCTATAGTCTAGTCTATAGTCTAGTCTATAGTCTAGTCTATAGTCTAGTCTATAGTCTAGTCTGTAGCCTAGTCTATAGTCTAGTCTATAGTCTGGTCTATAGTCTAGTCTAGTCTACAGTCTAAAGTCTAAAGTCTATAGTCTGTAGTCTGTAGTCTGTAGTCTGTAGTCTGTAGTCTATAGTCTATAGTCTATAGTCTAGTCTAGTCTATAGTCTAGTCTATAGTCTAGTATATAGTCTTGTCTATAGTCTAGTCTATAGTCTAGTATATAGTCTTGTCTATAGTCTAGTCTATAGTCTAGTCAATAGCCTAATCTATAGTCTTGTCTATAGTCTAGTCTATAGTCTAGTCTATAGTCTGGTCTATAGTCTAGTCTATAGTCTAGTCTATAGTCTAGTCTATAGTCTAGTCTATAGTCTAGTCTATAGTCTAGTCTATAGTCTAGTCTATAGTCTAGTCTATAGTCTAGTCTATAGTCTAGTCTATAGTCTAGTCTATAGTCTAGTCTATAGTCTAGTCTATAGTCTAGTCTATAGTGTAGTCTATAGTCTAGTCTATAGTCTAGTCTATAGTCTAGTCTATAGTCTAGTCTATAGTCTAGTCTATAGTCTAGTCTATAGTCTAGTCTATAGTCTAGTCTATAGTCTAGTCTATAGTCTAGTCTATAGTCTAGTCTATAGTCTAGTCTATGGTCTAGTCTATAGTCTAGTCTATAGTCTAGTCTATAGTCTAGTCTATAGTCTAGTCTATAGTCTAGTCTATAGTTTAGTCTATAGTCTAGTCTATAGTCTAGTCTATAGTCTAGTCTATAGTTTAGTCTATAGTCTAGTCTAGTCTAGTCTAGTCTAGTCTATAGTCTAGTCTATAGTCTAGTCTATAGTCTAGTCTAGTCTAGTCTAGTCTAGTCTAGTCTAGTCTAGTCTTTGTTTTGTAACAAATATCTATTATTGCTAAATATTTAACAATTTCAATTGTCCATGCCTGAACTCAAATGAATGAACTCTGTGTTTTTCTGCTAAATTGCAAAAAAGTATTGTCAATATGTAAACAAAATAAATAAATCACAATAAAAATAAAAGCATATCTTAAGGCTGTAAAAATATAAAATTCACACACACACATCCTCTCATAACAAAAAACAAACCTTTTTTTGTTGCTGTTGTTGTTTTAAGCCTACTTGTAATTTGTTTAACGAAGCAAAACTGAACAAAAGCAAAAAAAAAAAAACTTTTAATGATGCCTGCTTAAACAGGCTCTCTTATCCCTTTTTGCCCTCTGTTTCCCCTTTTCATTTTAGCTGAAAACCTTTAAGCACGTTTTATCTGGTTTTGTTTTTGCTAAAAATGGCGTAAAACTGATTGTGGTACAAGAGAACAAAAAACGCTTTTTAAGGTTTAAATAAAAATTCACATAAAACTGCAAAATAAAAACAGAAACATATAAATAAAATAAACAAAATTACTTAAGAACAACCTATAAACAGGAACTGTTTTAAATCCTTAACTGAAGGGAAAAAAGGATTTAATTTTCTTTTGTTTTTTTCTCTTCCATTTTAAGCCTTAAATTAAAGAACAAATAAGAAATGGCATTTCTTTTTGACCATTAAGCAGTCATGTGTTAAAGTTGAATTTTAAGGGGAGTTTCTGTTTTAAATTGTTATTGAACAATTTACACTGACCTGTAAGTAAAATGAGAGAAAAAAATTGCTTTCTTTGACATTAACCACAATATGTTTGTTGTTTATTTATGGTAGAATTTATTTGAATTGTTTTACTTTTATTAAGGGACAAGGACTTGAGTGTAGTTAAAAGAAAAATTGAAATAATCATGAAAATTGCTTAAGAGGAAGATTTTTTTTAAAGAAAATTACTTCCGAGAACGCTTTTCTAAAGAAAACTGGCGATTTTCTGCAGAAAACTGTCACTTTTTTACATGAAAACTGTCTTCCCCAAAAAGACACTTTTCTATATGAAAACTGTTTTCGCCAAGAAGACACTTTTCTATGCTGTCTTCTGTGTTTCCCAAGAAGACACTTTTCTATATGAAAACTGTCTTCAAGAAGACAGTATATGAAAACTGTCTTCCCCAAGAAGACATTTTTCTATATGAAAACTATCTTCCCCAAGAAGACACTTTTCTATATGAAAACTGTATTCCTTAAGAAGACACTTTTCTATATGAAAACTGTCTTCCTTAAAAAGACACTTTTCTATATGAAAACTGTCTTCCCAAAGAAGACATTTTTCTATATGAAAACTATCTTCCCCAAGAAGACACTTTTCTATATGAAAACTGTCTTCCCCAAGAAGACATTTTTCTATATGAAAACTATCTTCCCCAAGAAGACACTTTTCTATATGAAAACTGTCTTCCTTAAGAAGACACATTTCTATATGAAAACTGTTTTCCTTAAGAAGACACTTTTCTATATGAAAACAGTCTTCCTTAAGAAGACACTTTTCTATATGAAAACTGTCTTCCTTAAGAAGACACTTTTCTATATGAAAACTGTCTTCCTTAAGAAGACACTTTTCTATATGAAAACTGTCTTCCTTAAGAAGACACTTTTCTATATGAAAACTGTCTTCCTTAAGAAGACACTTTTCTATATGAAAACTGTCTTCCTTAAGAAGACACTTTTCTATATGAAAACTGTCTTCTTTAGGAAGATACTCTTCTTTACGAAAACTGTCTTCCCTAAGAAGAAGGCACTTTTCTATAAGAAAACTATCTTCCCCAAGAAGACACTTTTTTATATGAAAACTGTCATCCTCAAGTAGAAGACGCTTTTCTATATGAAAACTATCTTCCCCAAGAAGACGCTTTTCTATATGAAAACTATCTTACCCAAGAAGACACTTTTCCATATGAAAACTGTCTCCTTTAGGAAGACACTTTCTTTTATGAAAACTGTCTCCTTTAGGAAGACACTTTTCTGTATGAGAACTGTCTTCTTCAAGAAGACACATTTCCATACGAAAGCTGTCATCCTTAGGAAGACACTTTTCTATACGAAAACTGCCTTCCCCAAGAAGACACTTTTCTATATGAAAACTATCTTCCCCAAGAAGACACTTTTCTATATGAAAACTGTGTTCCCCAAGGAGACTCTTTTCTTTATGAAAACTGTCTTCCCTAAGAAGATACTCTTCTATATAAAAACTGTCTTCCCCAAGAAGAAGACACTTTTCTATATGAAAACTATCTTCGCCAAGAAGACACTTTTCGATATGAAAACTGTCTGCTTTAAGAAGACACTTTTCGATATGTAAACTGTCTTCCTTAAGAATACACTTTTCTATATGAAAACTGTCATCTTGGTGAACGAAAACCGTCTTCCCCAAATTTTCTATACAAAAACTGTCTTCTGTAGGAAGGCACTTTTCTACAGGAAAACTGTCTTCTTTAAGAAGACATTTTTCTATACGAAAACTACGACTACAGCAAACTTTTGCCAACTATTTTCTTCCAACAAGTTCAATATCAAACCAACAAGGTGGTTAGTTGTATTCAACAATTGTTGTTGTATTTGACACGAAAATTTGCGATATCATAAACTTGCAACATATATTGCCACAAATTGCATTTCTTTTACAAGTTACTGGTATACACTGCCAATTGTATAGATTTTATACCATGGCAGACGATGGGTATCTTTTCAATGTCTGCTGCCATTAACCAACAAACGAGACAAGCAAACCATTTACTATTATTCCTAGCATTTATGTTTTTCAAAAAAATAGCCTTGAGTTATAGTTAAACGGATGAATGAACACATTTATATATTTATTTATTCATTTGCCCATTCACTCACTCACTGACTCCATTCCATTTACCAGTTTATATGCTTCCATTGTTGTTGGTTTTGGTTTGGTTGCTTGGTTCGCTCATGCAGTAGTCATACCATTAAAAATGCACCTGAAACTGTATCCTTGAG